AGGATGCATTTTACGAACCAAGTCTTATGCATTTTTGAATTGAAATCTTCAGGTGTCTCAAAAGTAAATGACATGGTCATAGCCAGATTTCTCAAAGGTTTATCCGCATGTGAAACATAAGCCACAAAGTCCATCTAATCCGCTTGGATTACTTCCAATCGTCCATCTTTGTTCCATATATAGAGTTTCTGGGGAGCAGTTGAAGGTATTGCCCCCACACCATGTATTCATTCCCTAACCAACAACAATTAAAATTGGCGTGAGATTTTACCACCACAAACACAGTCGTCCTTGTATATGTCCCCACTATTACACCAAGGGTTATGATTCCCTCTGAATTCAATGATTTCCTACTAAAATCCGACAGTAAAACATTGTTCTTTATTAAATCATCTTCTTTTTTACCAAATCTCTTCAACATCGACTTTGATAAGATATTCATTGCATCTCCCCCATCAACAAACACCTTATTCACTATAATACCTTCAATTCTATTTTTAGCATCAAAGGCTTGAGATGAAATCTCATCTCCGTACTTGGAGGATCGATAAACGCTACATTCCTATGAGGTGATTCACATGAAATCTGATTGACCCATATGCCTTAGGTTGCAGGTTAGACTCATAGTAATTCTCTCGATTTGAACTGTGTCTTATCTGATTTTCTTTATATTCTATGAAATATTTATTTGGCAAAATTGATATCACCCCTATATTCACATTTCCTTGTCGAAGATTTGCACTTAATCCTTCTCCTTGGTTAATCAGGGTGCTTATATATACTTGACCACCTCAACTTAATCCTCCTTGATCCATTGGTCTCCCTTTCGATATCCTTTTCCAAAAGGATTGCGCCAAGTTTCCCCTCACCCAAGGGCTTCCATGACTAAATCCCCTTGAAAAGTTAGGATATCCAGTGTAAAACTCAGGACTGTAGGATAATTTGTCAAAAACATTTATATTCCTTGGACGTATGTATTCAGACAACTAACACTACAAGAAATTTTAATATTACCGACGGTCAAAATTCGTCGATAATAACAAGAATCCGTCGGTAATATTTTTATTATTTATTAAATATTTTACTTATATAAAACCCTTTCCCTTTTTATAGACTTCAATCATTATCAGATTAAGAGAATTGTCATTGGCAAGATTCGAACCCAGTATCTTAGAATTCGAGGTCGATACTCCAACCACTAAGATACCGAAGCATTTTTTGATAATAATTTACAAAAAAATTATATTTATATATTTATATAAATATTTTTTTATTTTTTTATTTTTTTATTTTTTTTATTTTTATATATTTATATATTTATATATTTATATTTTTATATTTTTATATTTTTATATATATTTATATATTTATATTTTTATATTTTTATATATTTATATTTTATATATTTTTATATTTTTATATATATTTATATATTTATATATTATTAAATATTTATTTTTTAATATTATTTAATTTAAGAAATTATTATAAATTAATCTAATTATGATTAAATTAAATTATTAAATAAAAAATATTTAATTTTTTAATTAGTTGAATATTTACTAATTGTTAATTTATCGAACGGAAATATCCATCGGTAATTTACAAATGGATTTACCGACGGATATATCCGTCGGTAATTAATGATTAATTTATCGACGAATTTACCGACGGATATATTCGTCGATAAATTCATCGATAAATTACTGACGGATTTATCGACGGATATATCCTTCGGTAACTAATTATTATTTTACCGACGGATATATCCGTCGGTAAGATCAAATTTCACAAATATTTTATATCCGTCGGTAATTTCCGTCGGTAATAATTATTTTCCGACGGTTACAAATCCGTCGGTAAATATCCGTCGATAATACGCGATTTTCTTGTAGTGTAAATAATTTATTTCCACCCCACCCTTCTTTCCTCATCTGTGGATATGATTGCTAATTCACATAGTATTTGGTGTCATCCCTTAGTGAAATTTGTAGATTTTGATCCTGACATTCTAGACCTTGTTTTTGTTTCTAATTACTCTTTGTTCTCTGGTTTTCTTCGAGTTTTTTGGCTGCAACTTTATCGAATACTGCATTACATCTTGGACATAACCATTATTCATCTTTTTCTTTCTTTCAATTTAGAAAATCAACCAATGTATCATCTAAGGATATATATATCTCACTTTCTATTTCAAAATTATCTAATTCAAATTCAAACTTTGTCTCACCATCATCTAATTTAACATGACATGGATTGATATCTTTTGCAGTGATGTTTACCATATGAATTCCTAAATCATTTACTAAATTCTAACACCATCAGTAGTGTTAAGTTTGACTTCCACATACCCCACATGAGTCTTGAAAGGATCAGAATCCACCTTTATTGGCTTCTCCTCAAATTTCAATCAACCTTGTTCGATAACATCTTGTATCGTATTTCTCAAATGAATTCAATTATTAGTCTAATGTCCATATATATTATGAAACTTACAATATTTTTGCCCTCTCCTTTACTCTAAAGAAGGCAATTTATGATCTAACTCAATTTTATTTGCTTGTCTTTTAATAAAATATCAAAAATTTTATCTGTCTTTGTTACATCGAAACTATAAGTTCAGTTTGTCATTTTATCATAAACTTCACTTTTTGGTAACAACTTACGTACATAAGAAGCACCAATTTTGATTTCAACTACATTTATTTCCTCATCACTTTCATTTAATTCTCCTTCCTCATTTTCTTCTACAATATCCAACAATTTTTTAAACTTATCTAATTCAACATAACCAATTTATCACTTTTTACCACTTACCGAATTTATTATACCTCTCTTTTTCATATTTAATTTGTTCGATCATTTGAACTTTATCTGCTAATTGTGTTATATCCCTCGAATGTGTATTTACTAACTTTTTCTTTATCGAAAACTCTAAACCTGCCGCTACCTCTCTTTCAGGGACTTGTGTAAAACATCTTGATTGCATTTGTCTAAATCTATTCAAGTAATTGTCTATATTTTTATTATGATATCTTTTCACATTCATCAAGTCAATCAGACTAACCTGGGTTTGTCCTCTAGAAAATTGCTCAATTAAACATAGAATTCAGAGGCAAGGTAGTGAACCAAGTAAAAACATTATTTGTCAAAGAACTTGGAAAGTTTTTTATCATTAAACTTTCAATTGTTAATAAGTTTTCACATTCAATTTGATACCTAACTATGTGTTCGAGAGTGGAATCTCCAAGATCACTCGCAAACTTTGTAAATTTTGGGGTTTTCTATTCTCTAGATAATTCTGCTTCTAACACAAAATCAAAAAATTGAAAAATAAAATATGATTGATTATATAATCTCATTCTCTTATCCAACTGATTCCCATATCCGATTATTGATTATAAACATTTTGTTGATAATTCTCGTTGTTCTAATTCCTTCTTATACTATCCCAACAAGTTGAATTTGATCCTTGCCTTTAAGGTTTTTCAATGTCAATAAAAACCATATTTAAGACCCTTTGTTTGCTCCAATACCTTTTCTCAATCTTTGTATAATATATATTATTACTTCTATTATAAACATCCTTAAAAAAAAAAAAAAACTAAAACGATTTTTACTATCCTTGTCTCTCCTCCCAGTTTATGACCTTTTTTCTATATTTTTACAGAGTAGACGTTTTATACGTTTGTAGCTAGGGCAATTTTGAATATTTCTATTTTCTTAATCATGCAGTGAATTATATATATTACTAGAAATATCTATATAATTTTTTAGAAAAAAAATATCCTTTTTATTAAATTTTTTATTTACTATCACATTAAATGATTTAATAGTATTTCCAAAAAAACATAACTTAAGAATAATAATTTTTAAGAAGTAAATCAAACACCAGAAATATATTTTTTCAATTTGATAAATTAAAAACTCCTCTTGTATAGTAGAGTAGGTTTTAAGAACTCCACGATTTTGGGTAATTACCAGTCCAGTGAGAGTTCTTACTTTTTCTTTTCAAGTGAGTGCTTACTCCAGAATACTCAAATTCAAAGACTATAGAATCTAATGTACACGCCGAAGGACAAGACTGTGGGAATCTTGACCTGTCTTTATATGTAGGTTTGAGCCCGGACATCTCTTGAAGAAGAATTTTCCATAAAAATGATGAGAAAGCAGATAAGCTTTGTACCTGAGCTGATGTTGCAAAGTACACGACCACAAAGTTATGGACAAGCCCTGACGTTATGATTACTGTAATTCTTAGGTTGGTGGATACAATTTTTTTTGTGGTTGAGCGATATATGCGGGTCTCTGCCAAGTCTGATAACTTGCAAAACCAATGTTAGTTGAGCTAAATTAAGGTAATTTCTTGGTAGAGTAGACAAAATTTTCAAGATCTCCATCGTCGATATTGTCAGTGAAAATAACTCGTTTCAAAACATAGTGTTAAGGAACAATTCCTATAAGTTTTTCAACTATCTTTGAGATAAAATGAATTTTATAACTTAGTTTTTTTTTTTAGAAGAAAAAGAAAACATAGGTAAGAGTTATCAAAAATTCAAATATAAAATTGATTTTCATTTATGAGAAAACTTTAATTTATTTATTATTTTTCTTTTCTATAAATATGTATTAAGAAATTTATCCAAGTTGTGGACGAAATAGCAAAATCTTATACGGGATATTAAGAATGGTGATAGTATTCTCTGAAAACCCTTATAATTATTTTTTGTTTTCAACAATATATGAACAAATATAACAGTGGTCTTTCACACAAACAACAACGTACCAATCTCACGCAACTCGAAAATTTGACCGCGTAGGTTTTACAAACTGATGGATGTGCTAAGTGACGTATACAGAATGTAGTGACGTTGAAAACCAACCCATGCAACCCAATACTGTGACTTAAGCGCCATCCTAATGAGGCATGGTTGAAGATCCAAATGTTGCTACGTATTTGTTTGGAATCACTTCATCTGGTACGTGCAGTGGATTGAAAGTTAAGTTGCATGCTGGATCCTTATGTTTCCCGCATTGTAGGTGCGGATGCCATTGCCAAAGGAAGAGAGGCTAAGTCCCTTTGGTTTCTTCACACGACCTGGCCGACATGATGCCTCTGGAATCCGATGAATTTTTACTGAACATACCTTTTCCAAGTTAGGAATAGCATGGAGGTGGGAAGGGAGCTCCACTATGAACTCTCCAAACTCATCACTTTCACCTCTTGCTACCATTGAGGACTTCCACTTCCACTTCCTCCCATGGCTGTGGCACTTCACACCAACCCAAACTCCTGCATCAAGTCATAAATTAACCAGACAAATGAAGTTTTGTGTATTCATTTGCAAACTCAAAATTTTCATCCAATGCATATGATTGGAGAGATTCTAAAGAAAGGAAGAGAACTTGTCTCAGTATTTCATGGATCGAATTTGAAGTTATGTGTTTCTAGATTCTGTAAATTAATCTCTAGCAAGAAAATGACTGGTTAACTCGCTTGTTTATATATTCTCCACGTCACTGATAATAAAACAACAACGAAGTTAATGCAATTCTGTCGGGCAAATCATTACACTATATACATCATCATATACAACGAAGAATAGTATTTATTTATATTTTTTTCCCCATAAACCACAACTTTGTTTCCCTTGATGTACCCTTAACGTGAGGTGAAAAAGAATTTTCCTTCCCCTACTATTTGACTGAAAGGTTGGGACACATTACCATTGTATGTATATGTTTTCTCTGCCATCAATTAATATGTCTTGTCATTTATGTTACCATCAAACAGCTGATCAATAATGACCAAAGCGATTTAGTGAATTGGAATCAAAACTTGTGTTGTTTTCCGAAGCAGAAATTTTACCAAACAAAGCTTTCGCTTGCCACCAAACAATGCAACACCAACTGCCGCAGCTCTTCAGTTTTGCGATATTGGCATTTGTTTTAGGCAACACTTTTCCCAGTGCATTTTGGAAAACATTGATAATATATTCTCTCTACCAAAACCATTGAGTCATAGGAAAACACTGATAACCGCTACCAAAACCATTGAGTCATCGTGAAATATTAGGAACAGCTATTTGTTGCTTTACTTTCAACCTGCTCCACAAAAAACACACCACTCCCCAAAACACGTACTGTATATACATATACAACGAAACAGGCAATAGTTCATATACATATAGCGATTAACATGCTACTTAATGGAGTAATCTCTACAATCTATTTGAATGTTACCAAACTTGTATAACTATTTATATTTGAGGCCTATATGTTAACTAAATTTGATTATATATAAGTTTAGAAATCCAATTACCTTGTAGTGGCCATGCATGAGGCTGGTGAGGTGCCTCACAATGAACTGAGCCTGTAATGAGGACTGTGGATAGCTTCTCCTCTCCATAGCCAGCGATGTGCACCACTTCATCTCTATTTGATAGTAACTCCAACAAAGGGTTGTCCTCTCCTGCTGCCAGAGATGCAAGAGCGAAGATTAAAAGTAGCATGCCGCAAAAGTAGCTCATCATCATCATCTTTGTATTCATTTGTTTATCAACTTTGGCTACTCCTTACGAAAGCTATATATATATATATATATATATATATATATATATATATGTGTGTGTGTGTGTGTGTTGAACCCCCTCTAGAGACAACCCAACACAATACAAATGATCATGTGCTACTTCCTTTGCCTTTATATAAGCCCTCTCAAATTTTCCAAACTGCCCTTATAGGTTTGACTTTGATGTTTGGTTAACCTATCCCATTAATTAGTCAATCAAATATTACGTGCTAATGTAAGGTTTGTGACAATCAATGAAACCAAATTTATTGCATCATTGGTTAGAGTTTAACATAAACGGAAGAAAGATAAACTGTGATGTAGTAAATAATACTATACTAATTTGCATTTTTCGTGTAATTTTTTCTTTCAAACATCTCCACTTAATTTAATGGAGCATAATACACATATAAGTTTTAGTAATGGGTAATGAGATTCTGTAATGCTTGATATTGAAGGGATTAACACTGGAATAGAGGAGGAAAAGTTAGGTTGGAAAAAAGGAATGGGAGTAAGAGAATGAAGAAGTTGGAAGTTAAGGTATGAGGTTGGTGGCCTAATATATGTGTATATATTATTTCCTTCATTAATAAAGTTAGTGGGAAAATCTTTAATAAAGTTGGTGACGTAAATTTGATGCCCAGTATTATTTCTAGCCTGTTCTAACTATATTTTCTTGGTATATATCGCAGCTCAACAATTGTGGTGTAGCTATAGCTACTTTAACACAACAAAGGAAAATGGAACTTTTTTATTATTTATATACATCACAATTGAATTCAAAGGAAAATGGAACTTTTTTATTATTTATATATATCACAATTGAATTCAATTAAATAGACAACACTTTTTGGAAACTTCTTATTAATGCCCGATATATAGTAAATAATTAATTTTTTTTGTGTTCCCGAAAAATCATTATAGTTTTCGTCTGTGTAAATTTTAATTGTTTTTATTTTCTTCACTTTCAATTAACATTTTTTTAAGAACGAGTAATATAAATACTAAAAAGGATATTTAAAAACTAATTTATAAAAAAAACTTAAAGTGGTAGAACTAGAAGATCGAAAATACATTTAAATATATGTACTTTATTTTAGTTTATATAATAGGAGAATAATTTCATACAAAATTATAAAATGATGAATTCGTTTAAGATTTTATTGTAATAAAAAAAATCAGTGAAATTAGATCTAAATAATATACAAATAGATTTTTTTTTTCATCTTAGTTCCCCTAATTACATGTTGATTGAACTCCGCCATTGGGTCATGCCTCAAAAACATTTTAGAAATTTTTATATATAGAATTATTAAACATATTTACGTTTTTAGTTAATATTAACAACAAATTACACTATTTCATATAATTAAATTTAAGTTATTGAAACAATGTAGATTTATTTTTCATATTTTTATTCAGTGAAATAACTAAAAAAATTAACATTTAGTTAATTATGTATTGTTATTATGGTATAAATATAGCTTATACAATGTGATTTAAACTTCCAATTTTTCTTCCATCCAGATTTTTCTTGTGGACTTTTTATGAACTTTACATTTTCTTTCAGACAAAGTTTTGGTAAAAGTATGATTCCTTAAATTTGTTAAAATTTCATATAAAAATATTTATTTGTTTTTCAAATTCTTATACAAATTTTGTTTTGTATAGAGAAGAAATTAATGTTTTTTTCAAATTAAAAAAAATTATAGACAGTTTTTATCTTAATTTTTAAGTAAGTAAAAAAGTAATAATGCATAAAATGAATATGCTATTATTATATTAAAAAATTAAAATAAAATAAAATTGCTAAAAACACAAATTTAAATAATATTGTTAAATATTTTAAATTATGTAAAAAATAATATCATCAAAAATATTATATTTTTCATATTATAGTTTAACAGATTTTTAAATTTTTTTTGGTACTGCAATCCAAATCAGTATTTTATCTTATCTTTCAAAATTTATTTAAATAAAATTCAGAAACAAAAATAAAATGAAAAGTAGACAAAAATAAAATGAAAAATAGTTATAAACGAAAAAATATATATTAAAAACTATATATATATATATATATATATATATATATAATTAAAACAATTTCGTTTGTCCCACAACACCACATCATATTAAATATCTCATACATCATTTTAATTTAATATTATACTTTTACAATATTTTATTTGTATTGGATTTTGTTTCTAATTAAATAATAATTTTATTTTTTATTATTAGTGGATATATAAAAATATCATTTAAAGAAATAGTCATCTTGTCTTGACACCCTAAAGTTACTTCTCATTTTCAACACATTAAATATGTATTAAAACACGTAAAAATAAATAAATAAATAAAAATACAGACTTAAATAACTTTTAAAAATAATTATTATGAATAATCATTGTATTAAAATATTTTTTAATAATGTAACCACCGACCTAATTAATGTTGAGTTCGTAAGATGTAACCCTCCATTACCTCATCACCAACATATATTATCCTGAATATCACCTTCACACTCACATGTAACCCCTTCCTTCTTCCTCGTAACTGGATATACTGCAATTTCTTGAGTTAACCTTCATCACTGATAATATTCATAGTATGGAACCATATGAATAAGATGATGAGTGGATCTGCAGCACCGAAGTATTGTTACACCTACACGTGAAGAACCAGTTTCGTACATCAACGGCCTAAAACCATTCACATGTCACACAGATAATGGTCAACAGAATAAAACAAAATAAATCCCAGATAATATCAACGTTAAGATAACTTAGTAAACCTCCTTCCTTGTTAACTCAATTGTCTTATCCACATAAATATATTATATGTCTGCATTCAAATAAACCAACCAACCAACCTTATTTATTAACTTTTTCTCCCTTCTAGAGACCTAACTTTCTCTTTAATATTAATAAATTAATCTACCTCACATTGAACTCAGTTGTCTCTGACAAATAAAATAAAAAATCCCTTAAAACTCACAATCTAATCGCAAGCATCATACAGCACACATGAATGTTGTACAACCATACCACTTTTGAACTCCATGGTAGTTAGTGTTGATATTATATTAATAACTAGCACAGATATAACTGCACTTGTACCACACGACAAGATACTGAGTTAATACAAGATTATCCTAGTTTAAACAACTTTTTAAATTGAAATCTTAAACATATAATTATAATGACTAAAATCGTCTTAAATAAAAGATGGATCTGGTCTTTTACTAAAATGATGTATTCACACGTATGTGTCTCTATATAATAAGGTTGTGTGTGTTTGGTGGTTGGTGGTTGGTGGTGAGTCCTTGCACAGTGATGCTATCATGGCTGAATCTGACAACGAGTCAGGAGGTGGAAAAAATGAATTGTCAATTTGCAGAGAGCAAGACAGGCTCCTTCCCATAGCCAACGTGGGCAGGATCATGAAGAAGGTGTTGCCAGGCAACGCCAAGATTTCCAAAGAATCGAAAGAAACCATGCAAGAGTGTGTGTCTGAGTTCATCAGTTTCGTAACAGGAGAGGCTTCTGATAAGTGTCAGAAAGAGAAAAGAAAGACCGTCAACGGGGATGATCTTCTGTGCGCCATGACCTCACTTGGCTTTGAAGACTATGCAGAGCCCCTCAAAGCTTACCTGCACAAGTACAGGGAGATGGAAGGGGAAAAAACTGCTATGATAGGGAAGCACCATGCTACTTCTGACCATTATGCAAATCCACTGTAATTATATAATTATATTCATGAAGGTGACATAAAAAAGGACATATATACATGTATGGATCTGGTAAAATTTGGAGTATTTTGATTTGAAAATACACCAGTTTGTTGTTTGTATTTCTGCTGTTGTGAATATAGTAGTTATGGATGCACATAGGGATATAGGATCTTTGTATTTCTTTTCTTTTCATCTGATTTTGCTGCAGGATCAGGAAGTGTAGCAATTGATAGGTTTGTTTCAATTGAAATATACCTATATATACATTCCAAATTCTAAGTGGTTTGAATTTATGGTCCAAATAAAGAAAGAGGGTGAAATATTTTAGCTACTTTGAAGCTACCTTCTTTTCCTTCTAAGTTGTAACTGATTTGCTTCAAATATTTCCAAAATTTTATAGTTTTTCCAATTCCAGTATAGGTAACTTGATACTTGATATACTCTGCGTTGATTTGGCAAGTACTGTTGTAGTTCCCTGAATTGGCAACAAGGGCATGATCATGAAGAACCCCCCAATCAGTTGAGACTGAGAGGCTAGATTTTCCAAAAACGTTAATATTTACTGCTGTGCCTTTACTATCATAATCTTAATCAATTTTTATATGACATATATAATTAAGTGTTATTAAATCTTCATAGTAAATTAAAAATTTCAGTCATATATTATTATGTGAAGATTAGTCCAAAACATGAATGTAAAATAATTTATAGATGTTGCAAATAATGTTTTGGGGGAACCTATAAGTTAAAAAAAAAGTGGAAGGACTTTGATATATTTTAGAGACATGAAAGTTTTAAATACGTTAATCTTGAACTGATAGGAATGAATACCATGGAAAACTGAACTAAAAGTGAGAGGATCAAAGCCTTACTTAACCTTTATGACAACGTAATGAATGAATAATATTATTCCCACGACACCTTTATTTACAATATTTAGTTATGAATGTTTTACAACAGCTTTTAATATGAAAGAAACAGAGAGAATAAAAAAATCATGAAATAAAAGGATTGATATAATAGAGAAAAATAAAAGTAAAAAGTAAATTGTAGTTTTAACAAAAAAAATACAGTTTATTGTCATCAAAAGTTATGCACAAAAAAAGCAAATTAAATTTTATGAGCACATTTTTCTACGGTATTATAAATATTTCAGTCACATTTTTAGTGCATGGTCGTGTTGTGTGTAGTTTAGTATTTGCTGACTTTTGTCAAGGGAATGAATGGTTCCGGAAGATTAGAATTCGCTGTGACTTAGTTTTCTTCTTCTACACTTGACTAAAGTGCATATATATTTTGATTAAACATTTTCAGAAATTTGATTATTTTAAAAGAAAATAGCAGAAAATATAGCAGCAATGAAAGATTAGCTTTGACCATTGGCAGCCAGAATGCAAGTTAAGGAGAGAAGAAATTCCAAAGTAAAAGGTCCATGTGTGGTTCAATATTTTCAACTAATGTAAGCTTAATAACTATTGGCAAATGTAGATTTACGTTGTTGTTCACATAATACAATCAAATAAATAATAATGAGTTGTTGAGATTGAATCCATTGTAATTGTGTAAATCTTTGTTGATGCTCAAAAAGAATTTCTCTTCTTCAGGCCACCAGCATTGACGTAAAGATAGGTATTTTTGTTAGAGAAGTTTGATGCAGTAGATACAGGAGTAAATCCAGAATATTGCCCATCAATCTTTGCTAAGCAGATATCACTGATGTACTTCATAAGCTCATACTTTTCCATAATTGGCTGGGCTGCGTATTCATCAAATGGCATCCACTGCATCAAAGAATAAAAGTCAAGAATTAATGTGTCTTTGGTTATAATTGGAAGAAATTCAGTTTAATTCCAAACTTGCATGGGTTAAAGTAAAGCAATCTCCAAAATAGAAAGTTCTAAATGTGCAGTAATGAAAAGAATGAGAGGAATTATGGCATTATGATCCATAAACATGGAACATTTGTACCTTTGCAGCCTCTATCTCAACCTCCTGTACTTGAATGTCAGAAGAAAGAGGGCGCAGCAGGCACACAAAGAATAGATCTGACTTCTCAAAGAATGACATGTGACTTTGTCTGTTGTTGATCAGATATTTAGATGAAAGAACAAAAGAACTCCAATTATCTAAGTTGTAAAGTCAACAACTAACAATTGAATGTGAAATATATAGATTTTTCAACGCATTCTCGCCCACAAATCATGATATATCTATTACTGCATATAGAAACATTAGCAAAGGCTAAGTAAGAATGGAGCTTGTAGTTTGTGAACAGTTCTTCTGTTATGTAGAATTTGGGACAATATGATGTTGACGGCTATTTCCTACTCCTTTCCCCAATATTATAAATGTGTTTTAAGTCTCCATATTCAACCATTGGAGCTTCCTTTTCGAATATACAAAATAAAACATTTATTTGTAAACATGCTACCTGAATGTCAATACTTCCACAAATTCAGCATCAACCTGAAAATTGAAAGAATCCAAAATCATCAGGTTTAGGGTGAGAATGATAAATTTCACTGTCAATTATACATCCAATTTCATGATTAGCCCACGTTATAGGTTACACAGATTACTAACTCCTGTTTCTTCTTTGACCTCTCTCACTGCTGCTACACAAATATCTTCTCCCTGCAGAGATTGAATAAGTAGAATATATATAGAAAAAATAACTTCTAAACTAGAATGGAAAGACATTCAACAAATTTACCTGATCAACAACGCCAGTAGGGATTTTCCAGGCTCCACTTCCTTGAAAATGTCCACTCTTTTCTTGAACCACTAGGACCTAAGATCATGATAATAAGGAAAAAACATTAATACCAAATGCCAAAAAGATTTGATTAGTGGCAATGAATCACAGAGGAGCAGAGATGGATCTACAACCACTCTCATTAAAACAAGAGCATAGGGGGTGAAGCTTGATATGATTTCAACCTATAAATTAGGGTACAGTGATTGGATTTAGGCATATCCAACAAATATAGATTTGGTAGACCCTTCTTCCCTTTCATTCATATAAATGATGGAAATAAAGTATTCTTGTCTAAATTAAGTGTCATATGCGACTTCTATTTCATCCAAGTTCAAAACATTGTTGCAGTACTTCGTGATCACGGAAATACCTCTTGTTTTTCATTCACAACAAATGACCCGACACCCACCCTGTGTGTGGCGTTTGCTGGAATAGTATCTGCCGAGTCAGGAATCCAATATACAAGCATTAAATATTTTGGTTCTGCATGGTGATACCAAAAACCTTCCTGCACAGATAGTGTACCACAGAAATATGATTTGGACAAAAAGTTAGTGCATAAGGATATAGGTTGAATTATTTTTTTATCAACCATTAACCAAACCACAGAAGTGTAATCATTATTAGCGCCGTAAGCAAAAAAGTCACCTTGACTAGAGGTTCAACTAAACTGACTAGATGAATAGGCAATTTTATCCAAACACCCTTCTTGCCCTACAAAAGATGTTGAGTCAATAACTTAAATAAATAAACAGTGACAGATTCTAGATTCCCAGTAGAAGTAGTGAAGATAAACACACGCCAGAATACTAACCATTTTTCATTTTGTGAATCATCCTTATTGTGAGCTTGTGAGTCAATTAAGTTGCACATATATCACAAATACATTTTATTTTCTGAAAATAGAAGTCCATCCCAAACACAATTGACTTTATGAAAACTTCATTGCTTATAGTTAAGAGTTAAATCAGAAAGGTTTGAATTGAAAATTGTTCCTGTAGATCACTCCATTTTTAGATTGCGAGTTAGCAAAAATAGTGATATTTTTGGGTGAATTCAAGTATTACCAAAATGAAAGAGAATACATAAAGAAAGTGATGCATAATCAATGACAGGTTAATGGGAAGGAAGAAACTAGTCTTTAATACTAAATTTATGCGTGAACACATCAATGAAGAAGAAACATTATTACCGTGAACAGGGGGGCAGGGGGGTAGCTATTAAGACTTAGATGAAAATCACCAAGAATCAGATTTGTATTGCTGAATTTGATTCTTTGGCAGCTATAGCATGAAGAAAAAACATAGCTAACTAATTTAGTAAACTTAATACGGATATGCCGTATTGCCATGTGTCAAATCAAATGTTTCACCAGGATTATCCATCAACTTATAAATTAAAGAGACAGAATTGACTGATTGATAAGATGGCCAGTATTTATACAGTGCAATCACGTACAACTCAATTTTTGTGGCCCTTTGCAGACAATTGGAGCACATATCATACCTATCTATACATGCTATATTTAAAATGGAAAAAGCCTTGTGTCTGGTTTACAAATGGCCCAGTATGTATTAAGCCAATGTATAAAATCAGCAGGATGATATTGTTTATAATGAAGAACCCTTATGAGAGACTACCAGCTGTTTCCAATGTGAAATTGAAGCTCTGAGGATGGACAAAAAGGTTGCAGAATCCATAGGCTTGTCCATTTCCACAATAACACCACCATGTTCATCATCGGTCGATGTTAGAAGTTCAACCTTTTGCACTTGATCTTCTGTAGTCATAACTTCTGTAAGGGATGAATCTTTCGAGGTTGACATGGGTGGAACAGGAACAAGGGTTGTCACTCTGATCTTAACTGCCAAAGGAAGAGTATTACAACCAAAAGTAATTAATACAAAATGGAATAGAACTATTAGGCTTCTATTTGTCTATTAAAAGGAAACACCACCCAGAGTAAACCAAGGGTAGCAGTCAGTCATCACAACCCATTTTTCCTGATCGAATGGAAAAGAGATAGAAACCAATTTTCAATAGTACTACTATCAGTCTGTCAGATTCACATAGAAAAGCATGAATTAGGGGTTTCAACTTTCAACTCAGTTTTAAAAAGACCAAGGTTTTAGAACAAGGTTTACCACCCAAATTTTACACGTTAGAAAAAATATCAAGGGTTTTTGAGTATCAGCAACCACAATTTTGGCTAGATTGACTGGTTTTGTTCTCAATTTCCTATAATAATAAAATCGTAACTGCAATTAAAACTTTGGAGAAGAGTAAAAGATGCTTCCATCAATACTTAAAAAAGAGGATTTTCTTTTTAACATGACAAGGGGATGTGACAACAAAACTGATTGACGTGAGGTTCTCGTTGCGGGCAGACACAAACCCGAAAAGACCAAGTCTTAAAAGAGACTGTAAACTAAAGAACGGTATAATTGTGAAACAAAAGTGAAGACTTTTATAAAGTGTAGAACAAAAGTGATGACATAAAGCTGAGAAAAGCTGAAAACAATCAAAAGAATAAAACGGAAAAGCAAAAGAATTTGCATTTGATTTCGTTCCTCGACGGGACAGGGTATAGAAGGAACATCAACAATGAAGTACACTTATATGACAAACCCACCAGAAAAATGAGATTCAGAAACACAAATAGTTTAAGGTTGTCTTGTTTCAGTACCCGTTGAATGGTCCGGTCAGCGGAGATCGTTTGCCTTGCCCTGTTACCTATCATATGTCACCAACCACGCTATCTTATAATAATTCTCAATGAATCCAACAAAATATTATTTCTCAATTTTAATTATTAATCACATGACTGTGTTTGTTTCCTCTTTGTTTCACCATGGTTGTCGTTGAATATTAGCTACTTTTTTACATTGTCGAGACGAGGGTTTTGAGACTAACCAAAATGTGAAAGTGTGAGATATGATTACGCGAAGGCCAAAAGCACCACGCAATTTCCGAATAGAAAAGACACGTGGCATAAGCATATCCATCATTTACTTTACTTTGTTGTCTCTCTCAGTTACGCTATTTTTCTTTTACCCTAATAAAACACCGGTGCGTGCTCGGAACTCTTCACCGGCGGTGTCTCCCGATGCCACAATTGGGTGTGCCATGTGGTGGGTGGTTAAGACCGGACCTTGAAAAAGGAGGAAGATTCAAGGTTGTGTTGTACATTTATTCAGTATCTCTACTTTAAAAAAAAAAAAAAAAAAAAGAGAGAGAGGATAGAAAAAAAAATTAAAAATTATTTTGTCGTTAGAGTTTCGGGAAATTTGGATAATTGGTTTTTTATTGTTAAGTTTGGAATTTGGCTGGATGAGAAACTCTTTTTTCATATATATTTTTATTATTAATTAAAATTTATGAAAAATATAAAATCATAAAAGATATTTATTGAATAATAATAGATTGGATCTACAAACATATGTTATTTTCAACAAATTTAGTCAATAATAAGAAAAATGTTCGAAACAATGTTAATTGAGATTTATACATGATATGTAAATGCCTGTAATTTTGATTAATTCTCATTAATAAATTGATTAATAAAACAGGCGAAAGTATATAATTGAATAATTGATATTTTAACATGAATCTAAACTGCGTCAACGATATATCCCACGCAAACCCTCAAAACGTGATGAATCATTCAGAAAAATGAAAGTAAAAGATGAGGAAGAAAAAGAAATGAACACATCACAACACGAACTGTTTGGACTTAATAATGATGGAGTCCTCATTTCAATACAGAAACTGGGGACAACGAAGGACAATGAATGTTACACTATCTTTCCTACATCGATTTTTCCTTGCAACGGTAGAACACAACACTCACTAGGAAATAAATAAACCCTACTGAATTATTGGGCAAACAAAAAATTGAAACTTCACTTATATTATTGAAAGAGAACGATACCACCATGCATGCATGCATGAGCTGCTGCAGAAGCACCTTTTATCTCTGTTTGAATGCAAGGTAAATTGTATAGATGATAATAGCGGCTGGAATTAAAGATAACCAGAGAAGCAATAAAATTGAAGGTTGTGGGTCGAGATAGTAAGGTATCAAGATAAAAGCTGATATTGAAAACATTAAAGTCAACCCAATTGCCAAGCTTCTAGCATGAGCCCAGGTGAAACACATTTTCTCAGATCAAACTTCACACTGCTACCTTTTCTCTTCTTCTGCTCTTCCTCTTAACATTTCATTGTCACTCTATTTATAGACACAGGGAATGAATGAATACACTGAGAATCTGTATTGGGTTTGATCAATTGAGGAAATAAATGTGAAATTTAGAAAACATGTTTCTCTTTCCAGATTTACCCAAAGTGTGGGATGTACTATTTGGTAAGAAGAGCCTTTAATTAAATGAATTCTTTCACTCTTCATATATACTAATTGCAAGCAATTCTGATTTTTATTAAACACCTACAATTTAATATTCACCTTCCATTTTCTTTTTCTTTCACATTCTGTTCCTATCTGGTGTAAAATTATCATTTTGATAAAATGGTAAAAATAAATATGTTTGGAGAATTTTTTTATATAAATTGAAAATATATTTTATTGATAAAAAAATTATATTTAGGGTGTTTAAAATTTTAGTCTTAGACTCTTGAAAGATTAATACGTTTTGGGTTTCACTTGTTTTAGTTTATTTTTGTATATTGTGTATTGTACTGCTATTCTTGTTGTATATAACTCATATAACTCAGTGTTTTGAATGAAGCTTGAAATAAAATAAAAATAGCATGTATTTAACTAGATTATATTTTTATATTGTTGTTTGGTGTAATAATTGAAATAATCAGTGTAAGAAAAATGTTTTAAAAAATAAATCTATCATTGATATTTTTAATATTTAAATATACTAATAAAATAGAATTCCATTATTAATCCTATAGAAAAAAATGAAATAAATCCTATATATCTTGTCAAAATAAAAAGTAATTTTATGAACATATTTAGATAAAAAAAAGAATAATATATATAAGTAGAAATTAAAAGAAAATGTTTTAAAAAATACTATTTGAGATAACATCTCAACGAATATTATAAACTTATATATTTAACACTATTAATAAGGTGGTTGAATAATTTTTTAGCTGATAAAAAAGTAAAAGTTAATTGCAAATGTTTGTTAAATTTACACTAGATATATATTTTACTGAATTTATTTTAGAGGAATACTCTTCCAGTCTATAATATATGTAAAAAAATCAAATTACTTAAGAAAACTATTTTTCCATTGGAATTTTATTGCGCGCAGTATTTTATGAATGTATTGAATATACTATTAAACAATTTAATAATATTATTAAAGAGAATATATTAATTAGATTCTTTACAGGTGCATTTCCAAAGGGTTTTTTTAAAATAATTTAATTTGAAAATATTAATTAATACTATTTATTAATTTATAATAATATTACAAATTAATAAATAAAAAATAAATAATAAACAATAATAATTCATACTTATTAATTATTATTTAATTAATAATTTATAATAAGTAATAACTAGTCAATAATAAATAACAATTGATAAATATTAATTATTTTATTTATATTTTTATTATTTAATATTTATATTTATTAAATAGTGATATTATTGTAAATTAATAATTAGTAATATAAATTGATATATGAATTAGTAATATATTTATATTTATTAAATAGTGATAATATTTTTATTAATAAATATTAATATTAATATTTTTTATTAATTATGTTTTCTTTTGTTTATTACTCATTATTTAATGTTTTTTATTTATTATTAACTATTTATTAAAAATTTACAAGTTTTGATTATTTATTATTCATAATTTAAAATTCATGGGTTGTGAACTTGTGATGGAGAATTTTTTTCTTCTATAAACCTGATTTGAGAAATAAAAATTTCAAGTAGACTTTCCTTTTCTTTTTTCTTTTTATTTTTTTATTACGGATATAGACCGTTTGACTGTAGTACTATAGACTGTAATTTTATTTTATTTTTTAAGATTTTGATAATTAATGTTATGAACAATATATTTAAAAAAAATCATTAATATCTACTCATTTGTTTATTTAATTATATTATTTATTATTTATATATAATTTTTTTCTCTCATTTCTCTTGCTCATTTATTCTTCTAATTAAAAATACTAAATTAAAATTTAATAAAAATATATTAAAAAATTTAAAATCAATATTAAAAATAAAACAATATTAATTATTTAAAATTACAATAACAATAAATAATTATATTTATGATAATATTAAGTAACTAGTTTAAATTTATTTTATTGTAATAAATTAATTATTCATATAATTAAAAATATTAAATATTTATAAATTAAATTTATTTTTTATTTAGTAATTTAATTTATTTATAATTAAAGTGGAATATTATGATTAATTAGAATAAATAATTAAAAAATATTTAATAAATATAACATAATAATATTATTTGTAATAATTTAAAATTTATTATGTAATACTTTTTAGATATAATATATTAAAATATAATTTTTTTAGTAATATAAATATTTTTATTTTTTAAATTAATAAAAAAATTATTTTATCAAATTTTAGTATAGTCATATTAATTAAAAGAATGAGAAGAAAAAAGATCAGTTTGAGAGAAGAACAATAGATTAGGGTGTGAACATAGGTTTAACTAGATGTGCTGACCCAAAACCTTGAGAAATTAATGAGGTAAAAAAAAATTATGTCTTAAATTATATTAAATTTATTTTAATTTGATTCATTTAGGTCACGGTAATTTATAAGTTTATAAATGAATCATTTTATAAAATAATAAATTACTTTTAATAAGAATTTCATTTATTTTAAAGAGTAAATATTTAAAATATGTCTCTATTAATCTGTAAGATAAGATGAAGTGAACCGGATAGCCCATTTTTCATAGTACCTACAAAAGAGATTAAGAAAAAATAAAAATTAAATAAATAATAAATAAGAAGAGAAAAAAAGGTAAAAGCAAAAAATAATAAGTAAAAGAAGAATAAAGACAACTTTATTATGTCAGACAATTCTACAAGGCTGTCTCTATTTTGACAATGATATTTATTTAATAAACTAATAAATACAACATAATTATTATAAATAATATGCAAAGTTTATTATTAATATTGAATATTTTAAAAATAAAAATAACTATTATTATTAAAATTATTATTCATAATTTTCTTTTATATATCGAAGTAAATTATTATTTATCATAAAATTAAATGTGATCATCAAAAAATTAAATATATTAAAAATTAAAACATAAAAAAGAAATTAGGTTTGTGGCAGAAAAAAATTTCTTGGAACTGATAGGGGCTGGAAACAAATAATAAACAAAGGTGATAGTTTGGAAGGATGTGGTGGGAAAACTAATCCTGCCCTGGGAACCAGAGAAAGCAGAAGGATACCGGGCAAAATAATAATAATAAATATTATAAGGTGTTTAGAAAAATAAGTATGCATAATCCATTATCTTATATTATCAATATCTCTTAATTATAGTTTTAACACACAATTTTTTTTTCTTTACAAATTTACAATATATTTAATATATTATATCTACTATTTTACAAAAAATATTTTATTTATTCTATCAAATCACTTACTAAACACAGGAAATGATATTTCCATTTCATAAGTTATTAGAAAAATAAATAAATAAAAATTTTGAAGCGATCGAAAATTTAAATTTTATTTAGACTTTTTTTTACTATGTCATTTCATTAAAATAGACATTCAAGCGTTTTTATTAATATTTTTTTATTTCAACTATTATAATTAACCATAAACGGTTTAAAATTTACCAAACACTATAAACACACCCATGTATATTTTTTTCCTCTTTTCATAAATCTTTAAGAATATTTTTCTTAGTATTTTTTAGTAAGACTTTTGTTAATTTTTTTTTTTACAAGAAACCCAAAAATCAATCTACCATATTGTAGGTAAACATAAATCAATAAAAAATTCATAACTTAGTTTTGTTGTCAGATAATTGATGAATATTTTTTATGTATAAGATTTATAAAAATATCATGAGATACTATATTAAATATATAATAGTTGAAATATTTAGATTAGATTTTTAAATATGATGTGATACTTGTTCATTAAATTTTATTTCACAAGTCAATGATTTTTCGTAAGAGAGTTAATATTAAAATCATTGACCTTGTTAATTTGAATTGCTTTCCATAAAATGGAGACCATGTGTAACATTTGCAATTATAACAAATAATAAAATTAGAGAAGAAACATATTTTAATAAAAAAGTTATGAAAGTGTTTCTAAAAACAATAATATTAAGTATATATACTCCGAAATATACTTTTTATTACCAGTTTTCTATCTGTATTTTCAATTTTGTAATCTTTCCGATTCAAACAAAATGCATGATTTTTTTTAATTAAAAACAAGAATATCTCCAATATATATTTTACTTTTAATTAAACCTCCAGAAAACCATTTAATTTTTTTGTTTCTTTAGAGAAATGCTAGATTCACAATTCTAGATGCAAACAATAAAACAATACCTACTTTTATTAATTTTATAATAATAAAAGTTTATATTTTATGTTTATCATTATTTTATTACTAAAAGTAATTATAATTAGATGTTTGGAATGAATAGAGGGTCTATTTATCACTTTTTTGTTTATAAGTAACATTACATTAATGTGACAACGTACAGGTGTCGGTCTTGTCACTGCCTCCAATCCGAATAGACTGAACCTTTAACGGATGTCTTATTGTCTGTGACCGGCTATTGCCTATTGCCGCGTTCCTCGTTTACATCGCCTTCGTTGACACGTTGTTCCCAAAATTTAAGCACTATAAAGCTCGACACTTGCCAAGTACTCCAACGCTATCTCTCAACCCAACCCTTTCATTTTCAGTTTCACTCTCATTTTCAATCACTTCACTGTCACCATGGAAGGTGGAGGCTTTCATGGCTACCGCAAGCTCCCCAGCACCACCTCTGGTAAACCATTCAAATATTCATGTGAATAACACTACAAATACCCTCTTACTTTCATTGTTATCTCTTTTTTTTTCATATCTATTCCATTTTTGTTTTACTACTTTAACTTCATATATGCATATTTGACTCCAGCAGTAGTATACATTAATATACTTCTGAAATATATCTCTGCATATTTAATATACAGTAGCTGCTTGGTGATTCTACCATGCATGTAACTTATTCTCTTTTCAGTCTTCACCTAATTTTCTTGCCAAATCCACTGACCTGTGATGTCCTTTAGTGGATTCAGTTCTTTCATTAATTTCCAGCATTTAATTTCCTGACTCTTTCTTTTGCACAAAATCTGCATATCCTATATATACATAGTAAATATATATATGTGTATATGTATTACTTTTAACTTGTAAGTTGCGCAGTCGATTTTTCTCTTCGTCGGTTTCCCTATTCTAAGGTCTAATCTGAGTGCGAGGTGTCTCTTCCACCCTGCGTAGGTGGTTTCAGTAAAGCAAGGTGAAGTGAAGATGATGACAACAGTGGGTTATGGCTTTACATTTTAGAATAGATAACAAGTGGCACGCATGCATGCATGCAGTTACTGACTTGCTAGTTACAAGTGGCATTCATGCATTTTCCAAAATCATATCAGAATACAAGGATCTGTATCCACACTTTTACCCTCTTTACCGGCCAAGCCAAGGCTATGGTGTGTTGGATGGACATATACGTACATATATATATATATATATATATATATAAGTACATGCATTATGCAGTTTCAATCCAACCGTAAATATTTTTGAACAAGCCCTAAGTCCTGTAACTTTTCAAGGCTTTCCTATTAGCACTCATTTTTTTCTCTCTTAGTGTGGGTGAATTTTTTTGTTCATACAAATAAAAGTTTATCTCTACTTGAGGAGTCTTTCATTGTTGAAATACCAAAGTTTCAAACAAAAAACGAGTGTGGACCATCCTGGTGCGTTACATGCAGATGCAGCCAGCCCTTTGTCTTTGAAATGCGTTTCACACTGACGAATGCATGAAAACAAAATAAAGCCGTGAAAAAGAGGACCGTTTATTTGAATCCTCTGTCCCCTTTAATATTAATCTTATGACTTCAGAGCTGTTTTTTTGTCCTTTTCCCCATATATTCCTCTTCTCAAGAAAGCACACAACTTGAAGCTCTCAGGTGAGTCTCACCCCTTTTACTCCTTTCGGTCATATCAGTTTCACACCTTCATTAAAAAACCTGACGTGTATCCCCTAACTTTATCTATCCACCACCGATTCATTTTCAGGTAGTTTTTTCGGTAACATAAAATGAATGAAAAGTATTGAATATTTAACCTTAACCTTCACGTATTCATTCACAGGGTTGAAGCTGTCAGTGTCATCAGACATGAACAACTTGAACATGAGGCAGGTAGCAGGAGACAACAGCCACGCATCAGAGGAGAACAACGAATGCACCGTGAGGGAGCAAGACCGTTTCATGCCAATTGCAAATGTGATCAGGATCATGCGAAAGATTCTCCCCCCGCATGCCAAAATCTCAGATGATGCCAAGGAAACAATTCAAGAGTGTGTATCTGAGTACATCAGCTTTATCACCGGAGAGGCGAACGAGCGTTGCCAGAGGGAACAACGCAAGACCATAACTGCTGAGGATGTGCTTTGGGCCATGAGCAAGCTTGGATTTGATGATTACATCGAACCACTGACCATGTACCTTCACAGGTACCGTGAGCTTGAGGGTGACCGTACCTCCATGAGGGGTGAACCACTGGGGAAGAGGACTATTGAATACGCCCCTATGGGTGTTGGTGTTGCTACTGCTTTTGTTCCACCACCGTTTCACCCCAATGCTTACTATGGTCCTGCCATGGGGACTTATGTAGCGCCACCAAATGCCACGTCCTCTCACCACCATGGAATGCCCAATGCTGAACCGAATTCTCGCTCCATGTGAATGAATGATGATGATGACGACGAGTGTTGAGTAGTACTGAGTAGGAGTCAGAAGAAGACGACGACGACTTTAATTAAGCTTAACTCTCACTAATTAGAGTACTGTTGTTGAGGGTAGTCAATCTTATAATTAAGGGATGGGAATTAGAGAGTTTCAATATTCCTAATCCGAACTATGGCTATGTTAATTTCATGCAATAACTTTGCTTATGTTTTATGATTTGGATTTTCTGATGTTGTTTAATGCAGTTTCTATCGTTCCCTTTGGCAAACGGGATACTTGCTAGCTAGTACTGGTGACTATAATATATAAAAAAATGGTTTTATGGTTTTGATGTTATGACAACATTATCTTGATGAAGATTGTTATTGAATAAGTTAAGGTGACCTTAATTTCAGTAAACTAAATAAATTGTTGACAATGGAAAAGTGAAATGAAGTTATGGTTTAACATGTGTTGAAGGAAAAACAAAATGAAATTGAAGGAAAAAGCTTAGAAGCTCCCAGCGAGGATCGAACTCGCGACCTTTCGCTTACGAAGCGAACGCACTACCACTATGCTATGGAAGCCGAAGTTGAAATGATTTTAAAAAACATTTTAAAAACTCGTTTAAATAAAATTAAAATCCTGTATATTTGAATTGGTGGTGGATAATGTGGAAGTAAAGTTGTTACTTGCATAGAAAAGATAAAAAATGGGAGTGGGGGCATTGGAATAATTAATGTTGGTAATTAGTGAGATGATTGAGTGGCGTAACTGGTGGCGTGGGGAGTGACATTACTATGGTGTCAGGTGGTTGATGAGATTGAGCAGTGCGTTGACTTAGGAAATGAAATAAATTCTTGAAATTCGTTGGACTCTCTTCCTTTGTAGCTAATTAATTTATTAATTAATGACACCAGTTTAATGTCACTGATCTTGCAGTCAAACAGTGCACAACATTTCTCTTCCCATCCTCTTATCATGCAGCAGGGGAATTGCATCTTCCATTTACTGCTTCTCCACTTTCACTTCTTTCAATAAATAAATTCAAACTTCTCCATAAATAAACACTGCTCAGATTCAAAACCATACCAAGGTTTGTTTTCTAAGGATATTGAACCAACCATTTACAATTCACTTTATTCCTATGTTTGACTCATGACTATAAGGTTAGGAACAGTTAGGTTTTTAACATCTTTACGCATGTGTTTGGAATTTGGATTGCATAGTAGATTTAACATATGAAAAAGGAAGAAATAAATTATAATGGAAAATTAAATTGTTTGGAAGAAAAGAAAAATAAATTAGTGAAAAATAAATATATTTTTATATGTTTACCTCAAACTCTCTGTTCTCTTCTCATAACTTCATTGTATTTCCTCAAACGTATGATTCTCTCCACCAAACATATTTATCAGAAAATTTCACTACCATGAAAGAGATTGAAGAGATGTCCAGATGCAATAGGATCCAACACACCATACCATTTGTTTAAATATAATCAAATAGTAACTCGTAATGCATTCTACCTTTCATCCTAATCAATTATTAGGGCTCCATTTTCTTCCCCTTTCATCATTTCTTTTTATATTTTCATAATTCATATAAAATGATCATAATATCTTTTTATTAGTTTTTTTAAAATTTAAAATACTTTTTCATTCATATACTATTTTATTTTGTTGTTTTTTCATTTTCATTAAAGATGTTTTTCAGTCATAATATAAATTGTTAATATTTGGTATCTATTACATAAGATTCATCTAAAAAATATTAATAAAAACTTGACTGAAATTACATATATAAAAGCATCTCCAATGGGAGTTGCTACCAAAAAGTTGATTAGAAATAAAAATAAATATTTTATTGTAGGTCTTATATCCGAGTTGCTTAAATGTGAAAAAAAGTTAAGAAATTTGTTTAAATAAGCAACTCTAATCATGTTTTAAGCAACTCAAATGTGTGATCCATAATAAAATATTTAATTTTATTCTTAAACAACTCTAATAAAAAACTCCATTTGAAAATGTATTAAAAATTTAGACTACTCATTTTCGAAGCAAAAGGTGAGTTTTAAAATAACTAATTAAAGATATATTTATGAAATAACTAATTTGAAAATATATTATAAATGAGTTGTTGTTAAACTCATTTTCAAACCAACTCATTCATAATATATTCTAAAATAACTGATTTAGAATATATTTATAAAAAACAAAATTTAAAATATACGGATTAATTGTTTTATAACTCATTTCGTTTCAAAACACTCAGTTTGAACAAAAAAAATATAAGGGCTAAAATGAAATTTATTTTAGTTATGAGAGTGGATGAAAAAATTGTGGAAGTACCTGAAAAAACAACCATTATAACTTTCATGATAAAATAGGTTAGTTTTAACCATTTTGAAATATGTATGAACAAGTTATGTGAGTTGCTACTCACCACATCTTCTATGCAAATAGGTGGTTACTTTTATCCCAGTAAAGACTACAGGATACATATCTTTTAAATTCACTCCTCATGACATATATATTCAAGTTAAATAAAAACTCTCTCTCTATATAACTATTTTTATGATTTCCATAGAAAATATGTGTTTTTTATTTATTATTAATTTCTATAAGACATGGATAATTGTAATTGGAATATAATTTCAATTAAGTTAAAATATATTTCATTTATAGAATTGATGCTTATAAAATGTAAAAAGTGTATCGAGCAGGCTGATTGAAAATAATTTTGGGATCAAAATAAAAATAACATGATGATATGTGACATGATTTAAGTTTTTTAATTTTTTTGAATAAAATCGTTAATTTTGAGAACTTATTTAATAACGTGTCAGGTATTTATAATCTAGCCTGATATAATTTTTAATTCGATTTGATCCAAGTAATTACTCATGATGTAATTAATCAATTGTATATTGGTTCAATTTAATACTTTATGTCATATATCAATTAAAATACCTATACTAAAGTTATTTAAAATCAATTTAGAAATTAAAATGAATGAATTTAGTGTGTTCAATTAAAATGAGTTTATTACTAATAACACATTTATCTCGTATAATAAGTAATAAATGTTTATATATATATATATATATATATATATATATATAGAAAAGAACTAATTATAATATTATCACTTGTATTGCCTTTTAAAAAATAAGGTTACTTTTCTAGAGCAATAGAATTTAAAAAAGAAAAATGATTCATTTTTATTCTCTAGTGTCATCTTAAAAATAAAATATAAATTACAAAAAAAAGGTAAACTTAAAATACCATATAATGAATAAAACACGTAAATTTTCTTAAATAATAATAAAAAAATAAACTTACCAAAATGAAATTTGATTTGGGGAAGATGACCAGTAACGTATTTAGCGTTTGTTTGGACTGAGAGACTAAAATGCGGGAAGTGAGAAATGTTACGTGAAAATTGCATTTCCAATATATAATAAATATTCACCTTTTTTTTTTCCAGAACTTTTCTCACTCCTTCACTCGTGCGAAAAAATTGTGTAGAAAAATAATAAATTTTAAATATTTTTTATTTTAGTATGAATAATTTTAAAGTATTGTTACATGAAAAAGAATTATGTCATAATATGCATTTTATTGTGTTTAGTTGTTTATTGAGTTAATATTAGTGATTTTTACACATGTTTTTTAACGCATTTTGGAGCTAAGTTAAATAATAAAAAGAAAAACCCACGTATAGTGATTGAACAATTTGGACATTTACATGAAAAATATATTTTTAAAAATTATTATTTTATTGTGTATGAACTTTAAAATATAATCATGATATTTAATAAATTATTAGTGTATTTTGGATTTGATTTAGATTATATTAAAAAATTATCCGTTTATAGAATTGATGTTTGTTGTATAAAATGTCAAAAATTATTAAATAGGATAATTAAAAATAGACATAGAATAAAGGATGTGCGCGCAGCTGTTAGCCACTTAGCTAAAAGCTATAAGCGTTAGTAAGGGTTCACACCACGATACTTAAACCCTCGGTCCCACCACGATTCCGCCACTCTGATTCCCCCGCTCTTCGGGAATCTCGTGGGGACTTACCACCCGCTGCCCCAATTCCGTCCTCGGCAGGAATCGAGTGCGCGTCCTCGCTCTGATACCAAAGGATGTGCGCGCAGCGTTAGCCACTTAGCTAAAAGCTATAGCTGTTAGTAAGGGTTCACACCACGATACTTAAACCCTCGGTCCCAAGTATTTTCTCAACCCACAAAGGTACTAAATATTTTCGCAAAGACTGCCGCAATATGCACGTGTTCCTCAACCCACAAAGGTAGCTACGCGGGACTTAGGGTCTCGTGGCACTCCCTGGCCTTAACCTGCCCTACTACTGACTGGGTATCCTAGCGAACACAAACCAGTTCAATTGCAAAAATATCCAGATACTGGCTGGGTATCCCAGAAAACACAAACCAGTTCAATTGCAAAAAAATCATATTCAAGGTAACCAAGGAAAGTCCTTGCTCTGATACCAAGAGAGGGGGAAAGAGGGGTGAAACTCAAAACAGGAAATCTGGGGTTTGAACCGCCAGATAACTGACTGATACCAAGAGAGGGGGAAAGACAGGAGGGGTGGAACTCAAAACAGGAAATCCGGGGTTTGAACCGCCAGATAATTGACTGATACCCCAAAAATAAAGAGGTACAGAGAAAGCAGGAAAACCCGGTGAGGGAAAACACTGCTCGGATACCGGAGGGTGGACGAACGTAGAAAACCGGAATGAACCCGGAATAAACCGCCCTGAGACCCGAAGGGGATGGAAAGGAGGAAAGTAAAGAGACAGGAAAACAAAATAAATTAAAACATGTTATAACTCTTTATCTCTTCCGTCGGCCAACGTGGCTACTTAGCTACCGGAGAACCCGAAACCGGCTAGCTAAAATGAAGACCGTCCGAGATAAAGTCTGTTATAGCAAGAAAAGTGTTCACTTATAAGATTATGAGATGGATGAATCCGGCATAGCCGGTTA